TTGATTTATGCCCAATATTGAAGCGTGGTCTGCGCTATGTTATTCCACGCAACAACGCAGGAGGGACAATCAGGGACAAGCTGTGGGTCTAGATATGGCCGAGGTGATGAGGAAGTGGGGGCAAGTTTGTGTGACAATGGAGGGACATGAGGGTGAAAAGGAGCGGGGATCCAGGTGGAAAAAGGGACCCAGCGTTCTCACCTCACTCTTCTAGCTGCTCCATCTTCACGTGTTGTTTTCCACAATGGCGGTCACACAAACAAAACAAGCCGGTAAGGAACCAAACAGGACATGCATAGTGTAGAGCGGATGTAGGTTTGACCAATCAGAGGCCTCCTCTCTGCGGTCGCCTACATTTGGAGAGGTGCAACAGAGCGTCTGTGGAGGGGGCGGCGATGTCTCTGTGTTCACGGCGACACACGCGTAGACAACCTAGTTCCGACCTCTAAATCGGCCTTAAGGGCTATTTGACCGAGAAGGAGAGTGATGATGCTGCTCCAGATGACCTGGACTCCACAATAACCAGACCTGAACCCAATCCAGATGGTTTGAAGTGAGCTGGACCACAGAGTGAACGCAAAAGGACCAACAAGGGCTAAGCATCTCTGATAACTCCTTCAAGACTGTTGGAAAACCATTTCAGATGACGACCGCTGGAAGATCATCAAGAGAACGCCAAGAGTGTGAGAAGCAGTGATCAAAGCAAAAGGAGGCTACTTTGTGAAGGACCTAGAATATAAGACATATTTTCAGCTTTTTTTAAAATGTTTTGTTAAGCATATAATTCCACATGAGTTAATTCATAGTTTTAATGCCTTCAGTGTAAATCTTCAACTTTCATAGTCATGAAAATAAAGAAAGCTGTTTGAATGAGAAGGTGTGTCCAAACTTTTGGTCTGTACTGTATTTATAATCCATATCCTAACTTTCTTGTATAATCTGTATATAGCTCCCATATTTAATTATTTTATATAATTTATATTTCGTGCATACATAGTCTCTGTACACATTTAAATAAATATTTACGTCCTTTATAGCACTTCTGGATAGATGCAAACTACATTTCTTTGCTTTGTACTTGTGGTAATTTAATGAGAATAGAGTTGAATTCTATTCTATTTTCTCAGTTGTTAGTTGGTGATGAACCATTCAAACAAATCTGATGATGATTGACTTTTAACAGCACTTTATTTACGCAATTTGAACAACAGAATCAATTATTGACATAAAACAAGTGTCAGCTGAACATCATTAAATAAGGAGCTTGTAATGTAGTTTTCCTACATAAAGGGCAGCATATAAAATGTTAAAACCCCGCAGTTGAATAAAATCCTCCATGTTCTGTGTGGCTCTGTGGAAATGAAACTCCAGCCTTATTCTGTCTTTAATGTTGCACAGAGCCATGGCATCAAGGTGAGCTCCTTCCTGCAGTCTGTCTCTACTGGACAATAAACGCTTCACTGATTAAAACATTTAAAATTTGGGCCTTTGGCTTATTTTTCCTATTCTGCTAAACTCCTCCTATAAAAACAGCGTTTGTAAAAACCGTCCCAAAAAAATAAAAACACTAATTAAAAGGTTAAGAATTGTCTTCAGTCTTGTGCATCCATAAAAACATAGAACATTTTCAGACAGACCACAGAAAGGACACTCGTTTAAAACACCCCATTTAATAACGGATAGAAATGAGTTTGTGGCGATGGCGCCGTGTAAAATCCTCCATTGGAGATCAGCGGTTCATTTTGCAGTCCTGCACTGGGGGGTCTTTCTGTCCAGATGCAGACCAGCCGGTTTTTAAGATGTCTTTGGTTTATTGCTTCGGTGCAGCTGAGGTGAAGGCTTTCTGCTCCATATTCATTCACACCAAAACAATCCAGATTTTCAGTTCTGATGATTTAATAAACGGAGGACGTCATAAACTTTCTCAGCGTCAGGAGAAAATGGCTGATCGGTGCCTCTGTGTTGCTGATTGTCTTCTGTTGTTTGGACCTTAAAGCGGATGAACAGATCTCAGTGAAGGTGAATGAGAGCGGCTGGGCCTGGATGGTTTGTGGAGAGAAGCTGATCATCTGGAAGATCTGCCAGACGGCCGTAGCCAAGGTAACGACTGATTACCGGGTAAAGAAGGTCCTCTGGTTAAGAGGCTGATGAAAACACCCAAACTGTCCGACTGTTCCTCCTGCAGCTGTCGGTTTGCAAAGAGCTGCAGCTGCCCAGCAGTGACTACACCTTCTCAGCCGATCTGGTGGCCCTGACCTCCACCACGCCTCTCAAGATGGCCGCCGTTCAGTCCGTCTCCGTCCTGGCTGTGGCCGCAGAAGGAACGGCTCGCTTCTGGCCGAGCCTGGCGCATGAGGGCAGCTACAGCGAGTCGGACGTCAACCTGGGGGACCTCTGTAACTTTGTGGTTGCAGTCAGAGTCAGTATATCGTCTACTAGTCTGAGGGGATCCGGACCTTTTCTGCTGCCGCTGTTGATCCTGGAGCTGATGCCTGTCCGTTTCTTCTGCTGCTGTCTTGGTTTTCCCGTCTTTCTCAGGGTGGAAGCTTCGTCTTATCGTCTGTGAGGAACCAGCTGCTGAGGGCGGCTCCGGACTCTTCAGGGAAGCTGCAGCATCGGGCTCTGCAGCAGGGCCAGGGGATGCTGTCTGGGATCGGACGCCGTGTTTCCAGTCTGTTCGGCATCCTCTCCCCTCCAGCTAACGACATGGTGAGGCCATTTTTATTGAGCTGGAGGAAAACGATGTTTATAAAAACTGGAGGCTTGTTGTGATGGTAACCTCAGAGGGGTCACTATATTTGTGAACAAAAACCCTCCTGCTTTTTATTCACAAACATGGAAGCTAATTAGAACGTCTGCCAAACCATGCATCTACATAGAAAAGATAACCCCACAGCATGGTGCTGCCACCACCATGCTTCAGTGTTTACTTTGGCAGGAAGTAGCTGTTGGTCTTTTTTTTTACTAGCGTAAGTGAAAATAAGAAAGGATTAACTCATATGTTGCATTTTTTAGCTGAAAGCTACAGAAACGTGTTTAAAACTTTCAGGTCTTTAAGGACTCTCTTTGTTCCCACAGCTCCACAGTGTGCTGTGGGTGGAGGGAACCAGCTGCCTGTACTCTCTGACCAGTTCCACTGTTAGCAAATGGGAGGTGGACGACAACGCAGAGCACCAGGTCTTCAGCTGGGACACCAGGAGAGCTCTGACTGAGAGCATCGTGGATTCAATCTGGGTCAGTATGAAGCAAATGGAAACCAAGCTCACCGTTTTGATCTGATTCATCAGAAGTCGTTTAATTTTCTCTGGGTTATGTCCCGAGTAACCTTGATTGCTTTTTTTTTTTTTTTTTTTTAAGTCTTAAGTTATTTTGTAAAAGTCTTTCTTTCTTTTTTCTACCTTTGTAGCAGATAGAACAGCACTGGGTCTGTTTTCATTCCCAGCTCAGATCTGAGCTCCCTGCACTAGTTGCACATATTGGACTAATATTTACTGTTTTCCTTTATTGTCACAAGTCAGACTTTGTCCCGATAGAGACCAAAGCTTTATCTTTGCACTCCTGCATAGAGTCTGTGGTGAGGTTTGAGGGTCATTCTAGGCTGTGGTCACCTTGAAAACCTATAGGACTGCCGTCCTGCAGGACCGACTTTGGACATGCCTGCTATAGAGGCATCATAATAGATAAAGGAAAGCTAATTTTCTGTCAGTCAGCTGTAAAGGAAATGCTCCTTTAAACCAGCAGAGCAGAGCAAAAGTTCAGGCTCTGCAGGTTTTTTCAGCTCTGTGGTCCTCCATGGCACTGTTGCTAGGAGACAGAATTTACACTGAATTAATGGAGGACACAGGTGGCAATACCTTAACAATCTTAACTGCCTACTGGACTAGAGGAGCAGGTTCATCCACGTCTTTTGCCTGTGAGAGCAGAAGAAATGGCACCAATAAACCTGGTTCACCATGTTGTTTCACTCTTTGAACCCTGGATTAATAAACTCTAGATCAGTAAACGTTGGGATCCATGGAAAAGGGGCTGTTATGGTAACAGAAACAGGTCTGACCTAGAAAGTCTCTTATCTCCTTTCCTACACTGTAACAGTGACGCTGCATCTTTAAAGCAAAGCCTCCACTTCTAGAAAAACTGACTGAATTGTTTCCTCCAGGGGTCTGAGAGCAACTATGAGGAGCTGAAGGAGGGAGCCAACGTCGCTTACCTGGATCTGAAGATGAGCCAGTGAGTGTTTTCAGCTTCCTAAAGATGATTACATCTATGGTCATAAACTGACCGTCTAGTTAAATATAACCAAACACCAACAGCAGGTGAAGGCATCTTTTTCCACAAGTTTATCTTCCTTTTTTCAAACATTGTATATTTCTTTCACCAAAAAGTTATGGGTTAGATTTTACCTTCCTGTTCTCTAAGTCAACTAGTAATGCTATGGGATCAATATACAGAGAGAATATACGCAATGGTTGAAATAAGAATCTTCGCACAGCAGTGTTGACTGTTACAGGTGTATAGTTGGAGAGCGAATTGTTGGCCGTTTCTCAATTCACGAGAACACGAGTACGGACTTGTGTTCTCGCCAAGTATGTTCTTAAGAAGAATCTTAAGAAGAACTCTGGAAAGTATTGACTTGGGGAGAGCGGGAGCACGCAGTATAAATATGGGTGAATTGGAACAGAAGCGTATTTGTGACGTCACCAAACACTCTGCTCATCTGGAGCTGCATTTCTCCTCCTGTTATTAATAATCTCTAGATACAAATAAATTCTGACCTTTTCATTTATTGGGGGAATAATGATGAACACAGTCAGATGAACACAAATCAAATGAACATTTTGCCAAATAAAACAAAAAAAATCACCGGCAGAGCAGAGAGGGCTGCTGCAGACGGGCTAACGTTAGCCCTGGCTGCTGTTAGCTTCGGAGGTCGGCTGGTAGCCACGCCCCTCTCAACATCAGAACATTAATGCGTAACATTTTAAATTACGCATTAAATCGGTAACTGAGCCATATAATGATGCTTTAAAGTATAATGTTCTCGCCTCAAATGAAGATCAGACTTTTATTGAGCAACAGAAAAGAGAACTTTTAACCTAATACCCTGAGCTCTGTCAGCGGTCCTTTGAAAGGAGACAGAGTAGACTCATCCACGACCTCCGACACTAAACTCTCCTCCTCTTGCATGTTTCCTCTGTCCATAGCATTCCTTGACAGTGTCGTTTCTAAGTCACCAATTTAGTGCTACTTGGTCCCAATGGAATTTCCCATTGGGAACCTACTAGCACTAAGTTGCTAACTGGTTAGCAAGATGCTTCAGACAAACCGGCCACAATCAAACCTGCTTGCGCACCTTCCACCACAACAATCCCGCCCTCTTGATAATCGACCAATCACATTCACTTTATTCACTCGTGTAAAGTCGGACACCACTCAGGAGAATTCAGAAATGCAACAGTTGTAACAGCCGCTTCCCTACGACTTTAAGAAACTTGAAACTATAGGAGCTTTTAGTTATCTATTCGTCCCTCGTGAAAGGTTTATTGTTTTGTTCTCTCTCTAGCCGAGGGTTTCCATTCTGACGGAAGCTACACTGCAGCTGCTGTGCTTCATTTAGGGGACGGACGAGTTTGAAGTTGGTGGATTATAATGTGATCTTAGCTGTAGGTTCATAGGAAAAGTGTCTTCAAAGGAAGGTTTAGACTTCAGAGGAACATCCAAGTATATGTGGTCCAACTTCTCTGAAACATTAAAACATTACTGACATAAAAAAGTCTAATCAAGTAGGACAAAGAACCATGCAATAGTACACCCTGTTCATTCATTCAGTAGTTTTAAAAGGTAGGTTAAAAGTAGGTCTACACTCATTATAACTTATAACTGTAAATTATACTTGAATTCTCTTTGATGTAACAGTTTAAAATGGGAGTTTAGTAAATAGTTTCACTATATTTCCTAACATCTCACACTAAAAGGAAAAAGAAGTTCAAACCAGTTAGTCCAATAGATAAAGATGATCTTTTGCAAACTGGGTAACAAGCTGTTGACTTGTTCAGTAGGTTTGTTTGTTTGATTCAGAAATCCAGTCAGAGCTCTGTCCTGCTAGCTTCACTCGCTGCCTTTGCTGGCTGTCTGATGCTCCTGCATCTCTGGCCTCCCTTTGCACCTATAATTTCCATCATTCACCTACTCTTCCTCTGACGATGATCTCCATGAGTGAATAAACTCAGTATCTCAGGAGGCTGAACTGTGTTGCTGCTGTTCTGAGCCCAGACTCTGCTCTGCCTTCTCTCAGACTGGGTCTGGTGGTTCTGGCTGCAGCCTGGCATCCGTCCGACACCCCCTGCTTTTCCTATTTCTGCCTGGTAACCATGCAGGAGACGGGAGAAGCCATCTCTGATCACTTCAACGTGGAAGTGACCAAGTACAGCTGTCCGTTTCAGGTCAGTGTCCGCCTCCTTGCTGCAGGCCTAAAGCCACAGTTCTGGATCTAATGTTTGAGTCTGGACACCTAATGGTGGACTGAACCAGTGCCAGAGGTTAAAGTGGACCTTCCACTATGGCTGCTGATAACCTATGGTTATTAATATATAGTCATTATAGCAAATACAGTTTTTCATTGAATAAAGGCTGTGAATTTCATAAAATAACTTATATGAGTTTTAATTTTGTTTAATCTTCTTTATAAATCTTGAAATAAAAGCAAAGTTATGGTTCCTTGAAAGTGGGAATAAAGTTCCTACAGCCAATATTTGTCAGGAATTGTAATTTGTTTTCTCTTTAAATAAAGTTTTTGTTTATCTGGACTGAAGCAGAAATGTGTGTTTGGATGTGAAGGCAGGAGATTTCTGCCTCCCAGAGGACGGAGGCTCCTTCTGACTATTCTCTGTTTCCTCAGAGTGAGGAAGACCTGCAGGCCACACGCTTTCTGCTGCCTGATCCTCCAGGCACCACCGCCCTCCTGTACAACAGAGAGATGGTGTCTGCCTGCTCAACAGGCACCAGCAGGGCGGCGCTACCAGAGGAGAAAATCTGCTTCAACTCCCCAGGTAGGACTAACCGTTCAAGTCAATTATTCTTTCACTAAATGGGATTTTATCATCTATACAGTCCAGTAGATTAGATAACTCCTATGCCTCATTAGTAAACCATAAGTTCAATGATGAATTAATAGTAGAATCTCAATAAGCCAGTCATTTGGGCCAAATGTTGGTTTTTATTATCACTTCATAAACAATGAGCCTGTCTCTTCAGGAGATGTAATCCGTGGAGGAGGCTGCTGCTCCAACCTGCCAGTCTTCTTCTCCCAGAACAGTGGCCTGGTAGCAGTGGTGGCTAGAGAGAGCGCATCCATCCTGCCGGAGACCATGGAGGACTCGCTGTGCTCCTCGCTGGCTGCAGCGCCCGAGGTAAAGCGGCCCGGCACCACCTGCATGTGTCTGAGTGACCTAAAGCACACTGATTCTACTAGGTTAAATGCCACGTCAGAAGAGTTTAGATTCTGTCTGCTTTCTGGGTTAAAATCACCTCCATCTCTGGAATGTCAGCTCTGTTTTTCAGCCATACTTGTGAATCTGTGCTTTCTGTTGAAATTGGTTTCTTTCTCTTATCTATGTTCCATTTCCAGATTTCTGCCATGGAAACACCGGGCAGATCAGAACCCATTGCCCAGGAGGACAAAACCAAGCTGCTGAAGTCCGCCTTCCTGCTGTTCTGCCGGTATGTCAGCATGAAGCCTCCTTTTCATGAGCCGAATATAGACTGTAGAGTGTGAAAATGTTAAATGTGAGGGAATTAAAAACATTCAACTGAAAGCTTGTTTAGATGGTGGGATCAGTCTGAGTCATTAGAACTTCCTTCTTTTACGGTTAGAACTGTCTTCGTTTACTGTTAGGACCGCCTTCTTTTACGGTTAGAACTGCCATCGTTTAAGGTTAGAACCACCTTCTTTTACAGTTAGAACCATCTTCTTTTTAGGTTAGACCCTCCTTAGTTTACATTTGGAACCTCCTTAGTTTACAAATGGAACCTCCTTGGTTTACATTTGGAACCTCCTTAGTTTACAAATGGAGCCTCCTTGGTTTACATTTGGAACCTCCTTAGTTTACATTTGGAACCTCCTTAGTTTACAAATGGAACCTCCTTGGTTTACATTTGGAACCTCCTTAGTTTACAAATGCAACCTCCTTGGTTTACATTTGGAACCTCCTTAGTTTACAAATGCAACCTCCTTGGTTTACA